AAGCTCTTAAGGAACTACCTGCTGCCATTTGTTTTCCAGGGGTCTTTATAGGGTACACCAATTCAGCAAGGTGGAAATGTTTATTTTTTGCAAACAAGAAGAAAGTGATATGTACCACGAGGAGCTTATTAAAATTGAAGAAGACCTCTTTTCATCTCTAGGATTGCATTATAAGTATGGAATCTCATCAGCCTTTTTCCGACTCTACTGGTTTTGTTCTGCCATTTGTGACATTATTTTGCTTTATTGGCAGAACTTTGGATATGGCTACAGGGGACCTGGGTGCTCCTGCTTATCGTAAATTTGATGTGGAGGCATGGATGCCAGGTTTAGGACGCTATGGCGAGGTATTAAAATAACCTTTTGCCTCCTTATGACAAGTTAAATTTTCATCGGTCGCTTTTGCTTTTGAAATGCCATCCCTTGGAAGTAATCCTGTTTGCTGGGTATTTTGAAATACCTTTGAATCTTTTTTTCTTTTGGGATAGGATATACTTTTTTTTTAATCCTAGGTATAAGTGTAACACATTTCTGCAAACAGATATCAAGTGCATCGAATTGCACTGACTATCAAAGCCGGAGACTCGGCATTCGTTATCGTCCATCGGAATCACCCTCAACAACTTCCAATAAGGGTAAAACAAACCAGGCTGCACCCAAATTTGTTCACACATTAAACGCAACAGCGTGTGCAGTTCCGAGGATGCTTGTATGTTTGCTGGAGAATTTTCAGCAAGAAGATGGGTCGGTTATTATTCCAGATCCATTAAGGCCATTCATGGGTGGAATTGAAGCTATATATCCTAAATCTAGATAAGGAAGAAGACGAGGAGGAAGACAGAGAGTTATTGTAGGTGAAGAAACAAAGAAAAACATCAAGAAAGCAAGTTTCTCTCTCTCTCTTTTTTAAGAATTGGGGAGCGATTGATATTTTTGAGATACTTCTTTTTTCCTTGTATCAATCATTGCCTTTTGATGTTACACAGTGCAATAATATTAGTTATTGACAGTTCTGGTTTGAACGTTAGTATAGTACCATGAATTGCTCTAAATCTAATTGGTGAATCAGATTGTTGAGATTGTGGATTTAACAAAGCGGCTTTACTACATATGCGCTTTAGCCATTCAAGCATCAATTTTCCAAAGCAGGGGCAACATAGTTTGGCCACTTCTCCTGCATCACAACATATTTTCCTGTTAAATCACAAACAAAAAGAACATACATTCGCAATTCAAGCAGTTAAATTTCAATGTTTCATGTGACAGTCCAAAATCACTGGATCTGGAAAGTTCCATTTTCCATTACATGGTCATAGGCATAAGAGCTTCTGGATTTACCGAACTTGCAATCATATGCAAACAACCAATGAGCTACTTCCTTTCCTAATATCTAAACCATGAGATTTTTTGTGATAATAACAGAAAAACAAATTTACATGGTTGTCTATCACACAAATTGAAAATTCCATTGATCATAAACTCTTTAGATTTAGGTAGCGATGAATATTATTGAAAATTCCAATCAATAGAACACGATACAACAATGAACCATAACTTACTTACATATGATATAAACGTATCCAACTCCAGAAAGCCCAACCAGCTCATTCATCAACATAAGCAATGATCCTCAATACAAACAAACATAAAAAATGGATTTTTTTTTAATAGAAGCAAAATGAGATCAGCAGCACTGCCTCTATCCTGACCAAGGCCAGCACTCTTCGCCCAGAAGCTCAATTATGAAACGACCATAAGAAACAATGCAACCCACGTGGTGACAACAGCCATAAATGGGGAGAGACTCCATGATGAAGAGTCCGGGACTTTGGTTGTTGTGGTAGATGGTGTGGTGGTCGATGGTTTATCGTTGGAATCCGGCGAGGAAGTGGAGGAAGAAGACGGTGACTTAGCCGACGACTTGGACTTGGACAGTGCTGGCGCTGGTGCTGGTGCCGAACCCGACTCCACTTTAACTGCAAGCTTCATGCCATTCCCACAATGGCCCACTACACCACAAATGAAGTAATGAGTCCCGGCCTTCTTGAGAGCAACGGTGGTGGCTCCACTGCTATCTGTTGTGATGGCATTGCCCACCGTGCACGTCTTGTAGTCACTTGAACTCACTTCATCCACTGTATGGCTAGTTTGGGTAATTGAAAACTAGTTCAACCCCCCAAAAAAATCAACCATGTCAGTTAATGATTGATCAATCTAAATACGCTGATCAAATGTGAAATTCATTTGAAAATTTGGGTTTAGATTTTACAACTCACCAAGGCTATCACCAACTTTGATGGTCTTACCACCAGTCCATGTGCTATAATCTACCCCAGTTGTCCAGCCAGAGGCGTCACCAACAGTGTAAACTTTGGCCAAGATCGGCACCACCATAAATGAGACCAGCAAAAGACAAGCCATTCCCACACTTGAGCTAGCCATTCTTTTTGCAGAGTAATTAACAACGCAAAATAGGGATATAAAGAACAATGAGGAGGCTTGTGTGATGGTAACTTTCCAAATTCCTTTTATAATGCCATGAAACGGGGGGGGGGGGGGATGATGTCTTGGGACGGCAGGTCCTATACCTAATGCAAAAGGAACATGGGTCCCTTAACTTTATTGACCTACACTTAAAATAATGGTTGTTAAGTAGGGACCCTAATGGCCAATGGTGGTTAACTGGTTATGATGTTCTTTGCTAAAGCCAGTTGAAAAGACATCAATTATGCATTCAAGCTAAGGGAACTCTACCAATATTGCTACATTTGTAATGCAACCTTTTCACCTCTTGGAATGATGGATTGTGAATAAAGAAAAGCATGAAAAAAGCTTATTGTTTTTCTCCTAGATTCTTTCGTAAAATAGGTCAGTTTGTTGACATCATGTCACGTGGTGTTGTCAAACTGATGAACAAGGTCATTATCATCATTAATGGAAAAAGATAGGTTACTGTGATGAAAACAGGGTGGAAGGTAGTAATTAACAATGCTTGAACTCTACTCAAATAAAATGTGATCCACATTAAGGAGACTAAACCCTTCTTTGAAACATTAATCTGGCTCCCAACAACCCCGAAAATGGCAAATTCTCATTGCGTATGTGCAAAAGATATGGTAACTTGGAGATTCAACTAACAAGGAGTTCAAAAAATTATAACAAAATCCCAAACAGAGGAACAAAAGTTTCAGTCACTGAGGTATCAACATAGAACTTCAACCACTATGATCCTAACATTTTTGAAGAAATGAATGAAAAGGACAGAGGGGGAAATTTTGGAGAAAGAATGATGCAACGTGTACATTTGATCAAAACATTCCACCTAAAGGTCTTCATGGGGATGAAAGGGAATAATATGGAAAAAGAGAGCAAAAAAGGTTTATTGAAGCTTAATTATTATTATTTTAATATTTTAGGGTGATTATATGTTCAAAATACTTTTTAGCCATTGATAATACGTACATGCCTTGCAAATGCAATTGTTTGAACCCAAAACTTCTAAAGAGAACACTCTTTGTTACCATTGAAGTCGCTCAACAAGTTCAATTATGATAATTTATTATAACCTCCGCGTATATTATTATTATTATTATTATTATTATTATTATTATTATTATAAATTTTGGTATATTCATCTATAAATGTTTTAGTTGTAATACAAGTTACGTTCAATTATGATAAAAGATTTGACTAAGATTTAGAAGCTGCATCTGCACCTAATTGTTTGTTGCACTTTCAAAATCAGTTGGATTTCCTTTTGCTATATTCCTCCTGGTTCGAAGTTTTGAGATCATAGGGAGTCTTTCATTATCAACTGGTGTGATAAAGGTAATCCACTTCATTCTAAGCAATAGGCGTAAAAGAGCAGAAATGGACAAATTAAATGAAAACAACTTTAGTCGGTGGCTGCTTCTTCCAAAGTAATGTTCAACTCAGTTTAATTATCATCAGAGACTCAACTCTGTTCTGATTGAAATTTCACATATTGTCGGTCTACTCTTTAACCTGTATTCGTGTTCGTGTTCCCATAAACATCTGCAGAAAAAAACAGTTTCCCATCGTCTTGATTAAAAAAAATCAAGACACTGAAACAATACGGCAAATTAATAAATAATGAAGTACCTTTCCTTGGAAAGCAAACATCGCTGCATCGGCCTCTTTGTTGGATTCGAACGGGACAAAGCCATACCTAGACGACTTTCTCGGATCATCATGAAACATAACTCAGCAGAGACAGACAACATTAGCACCCTCTGAACTGAAAAACTCTTTCAGATGCTCAGCTCTTGCTTCAGATTAGCGACAAACAAGTTCAATTCTTGAACTGCCTTGGCTTTCTCAGGTTTTGGAAATTTCTTCTTCTTAGCTTTAGCATAATTGAGCCGTAACCCTATGGAAAATTATCTTTAAGTACAAATTTAATCCATAGAGGATTTCCTGACAAGTGTCATCAAAGCACTGGTTAATTAAGTATTCAAAGAAATATCTTTGTTAAATTACTGGAAATCATCAGAGGCACATGATTCAACCACGCATTAGGGCACTTACCAGCAAAATCATGCATAAAACATATGATTCGAGATAGGTGAGAGTTGCCATAGGTGAGAGTTGACAGAGCCTCAGCTGAAGGCTGAAGCCACAGAAATGGCAACACCCTCTTTCTGGTATTGTGTCATGCATAGAAAGCTAAAAGCAAACACCAAACAAACAAAAAAGAAGGAAATCAACCATAGCATAAGAATTGAAATTGGATAAGAAGACGAAGTCGGTATCTTTTAGGAGGCAAAAAGGAAAGTACAGAACGAGGTCGTTTAAAGATGTGATAGGAAATACCCCAACAATAATATATCTATCTTAAGGACAAACAACAGAAATAATTGATTTCAGAAGAAATAGATTATCAAAATTCTCGTTGCTGCATTCATTTGGGCAATTATCTTACTCTATTACATCAGATAAGTCAGGAAAATGCTTAAGAAAAAGCAGAACATGAATTTACTCATGAAAACGAATGGACTTTCATTCCGGTGTTTGAAACTATATCACTAACAAACTACACAGACTGTAGCTTCAGCAAAGCTATCTGTAAATCTACTTAAAACACCATCATTGATACAAAGAATAAACTATTAAGTTAGGTCCTATCTTGCAATGGTGACAGAGGCTTTCTTGCTGAATCTGGATTGGTAAAGTTAATCTTCTTCTCAATCGGGCTGCATATCTTAGGACTCGATTTTCTTTTGTTTGTCTGCAAGAAAATCAAGCAAATTACAGCATTAAATCGATGGACTTGTGACTACTAACCAGACACATGTGGGACCTGCACTTGTTCTTACAGGTGAAAGCAAGCACACATCCGCAGACCAACAAATACTGAGAATTAACATATACTTTTCTCACCTTTGCAGATGCACTGCTAGTATGTTTCCCACCAGAATCATGGATATTCTTTCCTTCACGGGATTGCCTCAATAATTTTCGGTTCGCCTCATCCAACATGTTGTTTTCTTCAAACAGAACTTTCGCCTATATAGATAAAATACCTTGTTAAGTTTGGACAAGGGGAATAGAAATTTCAACAAGCACCCCGCGTTCAAATTCTTTGGTTCTCACCTCTTCTTCAGCTTTACTAAGGTTTAGCTAGAGATGTTCCTTGTCTTTCATAAGGGTCTTTACTTCAGCAACTAGTGACAAAATTTTTTGAGTTGAAGGCCTCAACCTGTAAAGCACCACATAGGCCATTAGAATTAATTCAGAGACATGGGAGTAACCCTTAGAAGTGAAGAAATAACAATGCATCTTAAACTGCGTGCACCAAGAAATCACAATTAACTGACAAAGATGCAGACGAAAAATAAAAATATGAGAACAAAACCATCACCTATTCCACATTTTAAGCAACCTTTGGCATGATTCAAGGGAAGTATTTGCCTCCAAGAATGCTCGTCCAGATGTAACTTCATCTTTACAAACCAATGTTGCTAGAACCGAATCAAGTTAATTCTCTTCCACTGTTGTGCCCTCAGAATATGGATCAATCTTCAAGTATGATATATGATTGTCAGTTTGGAGACACAACAGTTCTTGACATAACTATATATGATGGCATGTTATCTAATCAATCGTAGGCAATGAAAAGCTGATACTAATCTCCTCAAAGCAGTTTTACAATGTTCAACTTACTATGACTCTATCAGCAACAAAGAACAATAATTTTATAATGCATACTCAACTACGTTCACTATGTTAACGGGTCATTCATAAGCTAAAAATCCAAAATGTAGCAAGTAAATCCAACAAAATCGTATTCTTTACTACAAGAAAAGAAAACTAACCAAAGTCGTCCCTAAAATTACCCCTTGGTTGTCGTAGCGGTTTTTGTAGAACCTTAATTCTTCATTTAACGACCCTAAGTCCTCTACCAAATCATGAACCCTAATCTCAGCTTTCTTTGCCCTCTCATCAGCCTCATTTCCAAAATCCATCAACGCCTCCCTATCACGGTCATAAAGCAAACACTCTCTTTCCCATTTGTTACACTGGGTCAACAAATTCGCACACTCTGCCGCTAGCTTCTGATTCTCTTGCACGAATCTCTTCAACACCACAGCATTCATATTCGCTTCCGCCTAGAAAAGCAAAAAATCATTAAAAATGACAACATCTCACATTTTGAAAAATACATTAATATTTTTCGTTCTTTTTTGTTTGTTTGTTCGTTTGGTTTTAAAGTTGACCGACCTTTGACTGCTCGATGACTTGATCTTTCTCTTTTAGTTTTGAGAGAAGGAACAGATACTACTCACGGAGGTGGCGCTGAGTTTCTTCGGAGGTACGGAGTTTCAATAGCAAAGATTCTGTGGAGACTTGAAGACCTAAGGAATCATCGATTGTTCCTTTTATGTAATCGCCGATTTCTTGAGGAATATCCATATTTTCAGTCTACTCAAAAATTTTGATTGACGAAGAACCCTAGATCTAGCAAAATGCAAAATATTTTTAAAGAAACTGTGGGTTCAAAAGAAGAAGAAGAAGAAGAAAGGTGAAAAATAAGAAGTAATTCGGAATTGGATTTGGGGTTTTGAAAGCCAAAACAGGGAGGAATTTTGGGGACTTTGGAGAAAGGGATTCTTTTTCTTCCAATTTTCTTCACCCTTTCTTCCCGTGTTTTCCTTTTCGATTAGTGTCAAATCGAAGAAAAAGGGAATTGTAAATAGCCGTTAGACTGCGGGCGTATATAAAGAAAGATTATAAAGTTAAAAAAGTGTTATTAAAAATTTTAATATTTTTGATAGAATATTATTTAAAAAATTATTTTTTATCAAAAATATTAATATTAGATATTACTTAAAATGTTATTTTTTATTATAGATATTAATTTTAGAAATATTTATTTTAAATAACAAAATTAATATTTTTAATAATATTTTATTATAAATAATAAAAAATATTAATATTTTCGATATATCTTTTCTTATTCTTATATTAGTGTTTATTATATAGCAGCTTAGATTGCGCTTTCAAAACGCAAATATATAATGTGGCCCCCACTGCTGACCTGGCAATATCTTTTCCTTTCTCTCTCTCTCTTTGGGCCTTGGGGCCGGTATTAATTTGTCATGCGCTTGCTTTTATCTGAGCTAGTACTAATTTAGTAATTGATTAATTGTTTCTTTTAAAAAAATCTTTGTAAAAAAATATTTAGGAATTTTTGGTGAAATCTACAACAATCGAAAGAGAAGTTGGTGTGTTACATGAAAAAAATAATCAAGTCTTATTTTGGACGGTTTAAATTTCTTTTCACTTATATTTTTAATAAAGTCCCCAAACTCAAGCTTTTAATCTAAACGTCCAAGTCAAATTTAATAATTAAAATAAATATAAATTAATTTTAATTCATAATTAAAAACATTAATTATTAATAATTTAACATTAAATATTTTTATATAACTTAATTTTCATTTCATTAAAATCTAGCTTTAGTGAACCACTTTTTTTTGTTATTGCGAGATGGCTTGGAGAGTTTGGTCCAGGTGGTTTGTTAGGTGGAACTATCATTTCGTGTGCCCGGGAAACGTTCGATCTCTTCTTTATGCTTGGGATGGTATTCAGACCCTTAATCCTTGTAAAGTTTGTGGAACTTGACTTTTTTTTTTTTTTTGGAATTTTCTGGTCAATATGGATTTGCAGGAATAATTTAATGTTTAACAGGATCATCTTGAATGAGGAGAATCTGTTTTGACAATGTTGTCACAAGGATTGGTTGCTGGTGCAGTTGGAAATGGCCAGAATCTTGTGTTTCAATTAATGATTTTAGTAGGAGTCCTAATGCCTTCAGCACCATTAGACGGTAATTTATTGCGATTCGGTTTTGGTTATAAGATATATGAATCTCGAAGGTTACTTGTTAGGCTTGTATGGAGAATAAATTCTCATGAAGGCGTCGCTTTTACCTCCACTTACTAAAAGGCTTGGAGCTCGGGTATAGAGCCTGGGAGAAATTTTGAAAAGCTGAAATCATTAAAAAGCATCAGTATTGTTGCGGCCGTCTTTCGGTTGGGCACAAAATTGGACTTCGACTTGAATGGAATGATTTAGAGTCGCCACCGATCATATTAAAACGATATTTAGGTAGATTGGACACCATCTTACATAATCTGCGTTTTACCATAAATGTGTCGGGTTCGGGAGTCGGTTACGGTCTAGGAAGGATTAACACCCTTGAACCGTCCTTTCGGTACCAATTAATTTGTCGGTTGTCTTTAATTGCGAAAATCAAAATTTAAATTACCCGATTCGTAAAATTACATTTGATCGATTGAAATTATTACTGAAAAAGGTCGAAAAATGTTAGACAAATAATAATAATAATAATAAATGAATATTAAATAAAATAAATTAAATAATAAATTAAATCAAGAGAAAAATAAATAAATAATTAAATAAATTAAAAAATAAGAAAAAAATAAAAAGAATTAATCAAAGAAAGAAAAAAATAAAATAAATAAGAATAGAATAAAAAAAATCGAAGACAACAAAAAAAGGAAATATTTTTTTTAAATATTAATGAAATCAAAAGAAAAGAAATGTAACTCTTGGATGACCTCTTTCCCACTTAGACCTAAAAGTTTGGGAAAACTCAACCCCTAAGTCCTACGTAAAATGAATCTGCCTTTTTTTTGCTTTATTCATTAGGCTTTGTTTAAACTTAAAAAAAAAACCTAAAGTAACAACATTATGCTCTCGTCCTCTCTCAGCCGTTCACTCTCTCTCACGCCCCCTTTCCTTTTCAATTGAGAGAAACAACCAGGGGGATAAAACCACCATGGCCACCATTCTTTTAGAAATCCGATAGAAAACTTACTTCTTCTCAAAATCGAGAACATTCATCTCAACCTTTTAAATCTAAAAATGAACACAAAAAAAAAATCTAGAAACCCACATGCAACCTTAGATTTATAGGATTTTTCAATGAAAATACCTCAAAATTGAGAAGGCTCGAGTCTCGATCGGGAGTATTGGCGTTGGGTTCGACCAATGGTGAGCTTTTTCGAGATCTACTATCCTATTTTTCTAGTCTTTCCTCAATTTTTCTGTTCGAATCCTCTCTCCTCGTATGATTTCTCTACCTTATTTCACAATGATTTTGCAAATTTTGTATGAAAAATTGCTTGTATTTTGTATATATTGTGTGTGTAATCTTCCCCTAAATCGTAAGTGTTACATGTTTATTTATAATAGAAAACAACTATATTTATAATCCTATTTGAACTAGAATCCTAATATTTGTTGGTTGCTCTTGTGGTTTGTTCCTTGCGTGACGTTGGGGAGGCGAGAAACCCGGCGGTGGACTTGGGTTATTGGAGACGCGGCGTTGGATGCGGGGCTAGGGAGTGTGACACGCTAGGGTTTCTAGAAACCCAAACTTACTGATGTGGGTCGTGTATTTGGAGCGGGTTCGGTTCGCGGGTCCACTGTTGAACCATGGTTGCTCCAAGTGCTCTGCTGGGTTTGTAGTTCCTTGGGCGTTGGGCCAACTGGATTTATTTGCTTGTAATGGCTTTGGGTCTGCAAAATAAAAATAAAGAATGAGATGTAAATGATAATATATATATATATATATATATATATATAATATATATATATATAATTAACTTTGATATTTCGATTAAGAATAACTCCCTGTCGAATTGAGTTGCAGATGGCTCCTCCGTTGCGAAGTCGAGTATATCTTGAAATGGAACTGAAGCCGTAGTTTGGAATTTGAATTGGAATGTGGCTCCTCGTTGTTAAATTGTAGTCAACTTCGATTTTCTTCTCGGTTTAAAGACTTCGGTTAAAAATTCAACTGGAAAGTATTTCATTGACTCCACTATGTGGTTGATAGGCCCTCGGGCTGAATGGAATCGAACTCGAAAGGTCTTCGTGGACAGATAGTCTTTCTCAACTTAAGCTATGCTACCGGAAAATGATTTCTTGTCACTAAGGCACGGCTAACCCAGATCTTCTTCTCGACTTAAAAACCTCGACTGTAACCGGACAGTAGTGTGATTGATGTGTCATCAAGCTGAATGGAATCGAACTCAACAATTTTGTTGACAGATAACCCTTCTTGCCTTAAGCTATGTTGTAAATGATGTGCCTTTGAGCTGAGTGTAATCGAACTCAAAGGTATTTTGTTGACAGATAACCATTCTCACCTTAAGCTATGCTGCAAATGATGTGCCTTTGAGCTGAGTGTAATCGAACTCGAAGGTCTTTGTTGATAGATAACCCTTCTAGCCTTGAGTTATGTTGTAAAGGATGCGCCTTTGAGCTGAGTGTAATCAAACTTGAAGGTCTTTGTTGAAAGATGACCCTTCTAGCCTTGAGTTATGCTATAAATGATGCGTATTTGAGCTGAATGTAATCGAACTCGAAGGTCTTTAGTTGGCATATAGCCCTTCTCGATTTAAGTTATGCTGCAAATGATGTGCCTTTGAGATGAGTGTAATCGAACTCAAAGGTCTTTGTTGACAGGTAACCCTTCTAGCCTTGAGTTATGATGTAAATGATATGCCCTCGAAGCTGAGTGTAATCGAACTCGAAGGTCTTTTGTTGGCAAATAACTCTTATTGTCTTGAGCTATGATGCAAATGATGTTCCTTGGAGCTGAGTGTAGTCGAGCTCGAAGGTCTTTGTTTGGAAGATAACCCTTCTAGCCTTGAGTTATGCTACAAATAATATGCCTTTGAGCTGAGCGTAGTCGAACTCAAAGGTCTTTTGTTGGCAAATAGCCCTTCTTGCCTTGAGTTATGTTGTAAATGATGTGCCTTGGAGCTGAGCGTAGTAGAACTCAAAGGTCTTTGGTTGGATAACCCTTCTAGCCTTGAGTTATGCTGCAAATGATATGCCTTTGAGCTGAGCGTAGTCGAACTTGAAGGTCTTTTGTTGGCAAATAGCCCTTCTTTCCTTGAGCTATGTTGCAAATGGTGTGCCTTGGAGTTGAGCATAGTCGAACTCGAAGGTCTTTGGTTGGCAGATAACCCTTCTAGCTGTGAGTTATGCTGTAAATGATGTGCCTTGGAGCTGAGCGTAGTCGAACTCGAAGGTTTTTTGTTGGCAAATAGCCCTTCTTGCCTTGAGCTATGTTGCAATTTATGTGCCTTGGTGTTGAGCGTAGTCGAACTCGAAGGTCTTTTGTTGGCAGATAATCATTCTAGCCTTGAGTTATGCTGCCAATAGTTTCTTTAAAAAATGGCTTCCCTTCACGGGTCTAAGCCGATCATAATTCTTCAGGTGGTTCCTTTGAGCGTGTCTGAACCAAGTAATAAGATTTTTAGATGACTCCCATTCACGGGAAAACCCACTGATAAATTCTATCAGCCGGATATCTTTCGTCGTGGAATTGAAATCTAGCTTGAAAATGTTAACTGGAAACCTGCTACTCATTATTAAGTTAAGCTGATCTGGATTCGTTCTGAATTGGCTCTCGAATCCATCTGAAATTGATTCTGAGATCTATAGATATGTCAAGTCGGTTAAGGTGTAGCTTCTCACTGTTGAGTCAAACAACCACCATCAATCTTTAAAGTAGCTTTCGAATCGAGTATCTTTCGTCATGAAGTCGAAACTAGACTCT